TCTTGCACACACCTGGCCCAGCCCCAGCTCACACCACAGGCTTCTCTTCTTTCCCCTAAACAATGTAAGAACCCCAAACAACTGCAGCCACTGAAACCAGAAAGCAACTCTTAACACTGATGAGCCTGAAAGCAACAGCTCATGGGTCAGAAGGACCGACTTCCGACAGACGAGCACTCCCACCTCTACTCTAATTACTGCCAGATCAACAAGTTAATTAGCTGTGCTCCAAAGGGGATTCCCGGAGTCCCAGGAACTGCCACTTGGGGACCACTCTCCCGGGCATGTCCTCAGTTTTGTTTAGGAATTGTCTGCAAACTGGGAAGGGCCGGGTGCCTAGGAAAGTGAGATGCAGGTTTTCACAGCTAACCGCCTGCAGCCCATGCAGCCCACTTCAGACCTACAGGTTCAGCAGAACAGAGCCCTTCCAAGTTTCTCTTCCATTCCCATCAAATAAGATTGTATCCCTTCTCATTCATGTATTTGTGCACTCATTCAGAAAACAATCTGAAGTGCCTAGTACACTGGTTAGTGTGACACATGGTTACGTATTTCAAAGTAAAGATACATAAGCTCTAAGTGCCTGCACTAAGTACAGGGCAGAGAAATAAGTTTTCAGACATGGCTCTTGTTCTGTACTCTGGTAGGAAAGCAAATAAAAGTCAGACAACTGTGAACCATGAAGGCCACCTGGGTGCTGTGCAGAGAGGAAGAATGAAACCCCAAGTGGGGGCTCAGAGGGCATCACTGAGTTCATAATGGTGCTAGTTGGTACCCCAAAGGTGAAAGATCATAGTCAGTTGAAGCAAGAAACAGTAAAGTGGTATCTTTGACCTTTGATACAGTTCAGTGAGTCTGCTGACTATCTTGGGTCCCTAATTCTTCAGTCCAAAAGATCAGTCAGGACTTAGAATTCTATAGCTGAGGAAACTTCCTAGAAGGAATAACCCTTGCAACAAATGACCAGGCTCAATATATAAACAGAAGTGGTCCTCAGTTCCCCTTAAGAAGTCACATATCTGTGTTGCTGTGTGTGCATCAGCATCAGCCTGCATCATGTCCTAGCTACCACATTCAGCTCCATCGCCCAGGGATATACGCTTGCTTCCAGGCGACTCCTGCTGCTGCAAAATGCTGTGGTGAACAGTCCCGTATGAGGTTTTCTCTAGGAAATACATATTCAGGAGCACGTGTAACACAGGACGAGGCACTTTAATTTGATGAAGTGTTACAAGAGAAGCTTCCAGAACAGAATGACTGCACTGGTCTATACTCTGACAGTGCCTGAAGATTTCCATGTTCTCACTGATACTTGGTATTTTTCAGCTTTCTAACTTTTGTCAATATATTGAGTTTAAAGAAATACCTTGTTGTTTTAGTTTGTTTCTCTAATAATAGATGAACTTGCTTCCTAATCTGATCTCTGGTGTCCTCTTGTAAAAAGTGGCTTTATATCCTTGTCATTTTTTCATTTTTATTATTTATTTATTTTTGGGGGGGATCTCTTCCCCAGTCTTAGCTTGTCTGTCCAAATTTACTACAGACTAATAGCTGAGAGTCAGTATGAGGAAGTGAGGGCTCTGTAGCACATCTCATGCAATAGACATTCTCTGCTTCTTCCTATTAGTAAGGGAAGTAGGGGGTGATCTCCAGCTTTGAGATAGGCAGATCTTTCTGTAGACCACCAGAAGCCAGATCCTAAGCTGCCTGAGAGAGTTCCTGATAACTCAAGGCCAGTAAAGGGTGGGTTGAACAGTTCCTTTGAATAGAGATGAGAGGTTAGAGAAAACTCAGTTGAATTGAATGATGTCCTCTGCCTCCTTTAGTCATATGATTAAAATCTAGTGTATGTCAGACTTAAATATGAGGCAGAGGTGGTTGAGCCTAGACCTGCAACCTGGCAGCCAGCATGCCAGTACCAGGATAGAGGAGAGGTCCCACTCTCCCTTTGGTAGACCCTGCCTGCCACTGGACTGTCAGCGTTTGTCCTCTCTTCATACTAGCTGACCCACCATCTCCTGTGCTCACCTCTCCTCCCACTCATGCTTTGGACCAGGGAATTTCTTTTCCCTGTAGCAGAAAAGAAACAAACATCACTTCTTTCCCAGGGTCCCTTCATTGCTGTGAACTTCTTGGAAATTCTTGTATCTGGCTTACAGTTAAATTTGTCCTCAGCAACCTTGTGGTTGCTTGTTCTAGCCTGGCTCACAGCCTGTATTGCTGTACCCACAATGCAGTGGGAATCTTTGGTCATCAAGCAAGAGGTGAACTGTCTTCTAACCCAGGCTGAGCTGGCTTCCACAAGGAGGTGCTAACCAAAGATCGGTGCTCTGTAAGTTGTGACCATTGCTGGAGAGAAAACTCTGACAAGGTGTTTGGAGGCATGGTTGTCACGGAGCAGCGATTCCTTAAGGCCTGTCTTTCCTCAGTAGGGCTGCTGCCTTTTGAGTTCTGTCAGAAATGAAGGGAATCTTCTCAAGGTTGCAGATGAGTCACTGTCTTGGATTGCTTAGCCGCTTTAGTCTCCAAGTTTTCGAAGTGAATTGCCCATTTCTTTGATTGGGTTAGCAGCCCCAGGGCTGATTCCCAGCCACTCTCCTCTCCCCATCCTGCCAGACCACTGTCTGTCCTCCAGGGCCAAAGGCAGCATACACGGTTGCTTGGACACGTCCTGCAGCTTGCAAATTGGACAGATGGAATCAATACTCATGAACCTGGAGAGGCCCAGGTAGCACAGTTAGTGACACTAGCTGCCTGGAGGGACAGCCTGCCATGAGAGGGAGGTGATTGAATAGTGATTGGATGCAGCAGCTGAGGATTAACCAAATTATGTCCCTTTGAATTTAGATTGACAAACCCTTCTCATTTGGACTTGAAAACATGTCAACTTGTGCAGACTGTAGAAGAGCTGCCTACTTGGTGTAAGGCTGTGCTGGCATACATTCTGGGAGTGGTCAGTTGGGGCCCAGATTCAAGTTATTGCTATGATTGTGTCAGCCATGAGAAGAGGCTCATTCTGTGCAGCTTTCCCATGTACTTATAGGCACTGTGGAGTTTACTTCCTCGTAGTCTGCTAGGAAGCCTTGCTATCTCTGTTATTATGGTAAGGAAAAGGGGGCCCTAGGTGTCGAGTACCTTGTCCCAGATACTATCTATAAATGATAGAACCGCATTTGTACTCCAGGTCTCTATGCATGTTAGAAAGTGCCATGCTACCTACTCAGTTAAGTTTTTTTAGCTTGTACTTCTCGAAACTTCCCTGGTTATCTTTGGGGCCAACGTGGTACAGAAAGTTGTCATCTGACCTCCATGTGATACTGTGCCATCTACAGCTGTACACACAAATAAAGGAATTTAAATTTTTGAATGGTAATTTTCTAATTTCGGAACTTTCTACAACTATTAGTTATCATCCTATGAGGGAGTTTTCCTAGCCAAGGGTAGTATATCCATAGTCTTAGTACTCAGAAGGTAGAGGCAGTAGGTTCAGCAATTTTAGACCAGTCTTGACTGTGCAGACAATCATAGGCTAGTCTGGGCTTCAGAAGACCTTGGCTCAACCCTGTTAGCAAGGGTGTGAGTAAGCCAGCTCCAAAGCTGTGAACATCTGTCTTGCTCCGCCCTCCCTGTCAACTCCTGGAGCAGGTGGAAGTCATCAGAGCAGGAGAGCCAACCCTTTTAGTGTAGGTGTGGGTGAGCCAGCCTTAAAATTGTAAAAATGGGAGAACTCTCCCCGTTTCTCATCTGGTGGACCAACCCTACAGCTGTCCAGACCCAGACCCAGGGTTATGACTTGGTCCACCCAGCATCTGCCCCATCTGTGACCTGCTGGAGCATGTGAAGGAAGCTGGCCTGCAGACCCAAAGCTGCAGGATCTCACAACACAGGGCACCAGCAGGATATCCAAGAAGAGTCCTATCGAGGGCCCAGCATTGATGGTGTGGTAGAAACCAGAGACCTCGAACCAGACCAACGACTCTTTGCAATGAACACTTGCAAGTAAAGATACATGGATAAAGGGGTTACTGCTGACTCACTGTGTCACACTCCATGATGAGATTTTTAATTGTTTTCTCTGTTTAAATTTTTTTCTTTTTTTCTCTTAAATTTTGTTTTATTGGGGAGGTACAGAGCAGAGGGTAGATGCGAAGGAACAGGGACATGAATAGGATCGAATTACATGATGTAAGAGACATGTAGAATAAATTTAAAATCAAAAGACTTTGGCTCAAAAATAAAAGATTACTTAAAAAAAACTTACAGGCTAGCCTTAAATTTCTTGAAATCACCCAATTCAGTGTCCCTGCAGATGAGTTTACTAGCATGAGCCATTACTCCTGGCTTTGTTTGCATCCCAGGCTAGCCTTGAACACACTATGTAGCTGAGGATGACCTTGACTCTAGGTCCTCCTAGTGTTGGGATTAAGTGTGGACTTGTGGAATTGCATCTTAGTTGCTGGGCTGTTATAAAACTTGTATAGTCATAAATATATTATAAGCACAACTTATCTGATAATAGCTGCACTCCCCAGAGAGTGTACCTTGACTCAATAAGAAAAACTCTTCCAGCTCCTAACTTTGCCTCATTGCTACAGTCTCTCTCTAAAGAAAATATATGTAATTATAACAAGTTATAAGCCATTATTGTCATTACTCATGTAATCATGCCCAGATTATCCCAGAATTTACTTAACCAAGTGTTGTGCCTGTTGAAGATAACAGCGGCCAAACCAAGTGATACATGGAAAAGCCAGCAGCATGGTTGGGTGCAAATACTGCAGAAACAAGAGAAAAACACTGAAACTAAAGTCTGGCTTTTTAATAGTCTGGTCATCCCAGGAATTTTTTTTTTGACACACCTGCCATTTATGCCTTTCAAAGTGTTAATGGTTTTGAAGGTCAGTTCAGAAAAAGTAAAAATTACCTTTTACAAAGAGCAAATCTGGCAAAGACACTCAGGGAAATCATGAGATAGGGAGCAGAGGACTATTCCACCTGGGTTTGGGAATTGAGCTTGGCTCGGAATCGGAGAGATGAGTGTAGTAGTTTGGGAATTCAGCGTGGCTCGGAATCGGAGAGATGAGTGTAGTAGTTTGGCTCCATGTTTTGCTCTAAAAAAGAAAGAAGAAAACATGTCTGAAGGAGGGAAGGCACAGTGTTCCCATGTGCCTCATACTCGGCTTGTGAAAATAAACATTAGTCCCATCTCTGAAAGAGGCAGCTCAGCAATACTTTGAGTGCTTATCCTAGAATTAATACAAGCACTCCGGAAGCTGAAGCAGGAGGATTGTCACAGGTTTAAGGATAGCCAAGGCTACATACATAGCAAGTCTTTGTATGTAGGGAGAAGAAAGAGCTCCTTATGCCCTCTCCTAGGGCTGAATCTTCTAGTAACGTGTCTGCTTGTCATCAAAATATTAAAGACATTCTCTTTTACAGTAAAAGGTTGGTTAAAAGACAGAACAGCTGACTGCAGTGCGTGCTTTTAATCCCTGCACTGCAGAGGCAGAGGCAGGAGTATCCTGGGAGTGTGAGAGCAGCGTGGTCTGCAGAGCAAGTTCCAGGACAGCCAGGGGTGTACAGAAACCCTGCCTCAAAAATCTAAAAAAAAAAAAAAAAAAAAAAAAAAAAAAAACCACAGCATCATCTCAGAATTCTCTACAACTGAGGCAAATGATGTTTTGAGCCTGCATAAAAAGAGGGTACATACATTTAGAATTTATCTATGACCCAGTTATTGTAAATTATAAGTGTGCTTCCTGAAAAAAACAGTCAAATAAATAGCCTGTGTTTTAAAACATCTTTCTTCTTTATAGAAACCCTTTCGGGGGATGAGTATTAGTGGGACCATTACATTATAGAAGAAAGAAGGGAAGCTACCGTACACTGAGCATGTTAACTAGTTCAAGCACTGTGCCCCATGCCCTTGTAGGGGCTCTGCCAACTATTTAAACTCTCCAGTCCATTTTTACACAGCTCCTGGAATGATTTCTCTAACGCAAAGGTTTGAGATAAAATATGTCAAACTCTTTATAATGATTGCTCTTAGAGTTTGGATTAAAGAGGTGGCTCTAGGAGATACTTCCGGTTTTGATATTTAGTAATGTCAGAATTTATACATGCATGGGTGTGTGCGTATATGGATCTGTAGAAGAAAGCATATGTGATCATGTCCTGCTGTCTGTCCTTGCTCCCATTCACACCTCCTTCTCTCTCATTGTGCTGTCCTGCCTTCTCTGTCTTGCTGGAAGGCATCACTCAGGCTGCTCCTGTGCCCTGCTAGTGCACGTGTGCTTCCCATCCTCATCTACTCCTTCAGAAGCCTTATTCCTACAGTTTTATATAAATATGTAATGATGTATTGACCCTCTCAGCCTACATCCCCTCTCTTCTCCCTTTATCCCTGTTCTCGCCCCCATCCCCAATCTCAATATTCATGTCTGTTCATATTATTTTTCTTTGCTGTAACCGTACACTTGTTCCTTCCCAGGAGTCTGTAAGCGCCATATCACAGGGAACCTAGCCCACAGACCGGTGACTAGAATGTAGTGAACATTTGATAAGTAGTTGTAGGATGAATTGTCTTAGAACTGTGAAAAACAGACCATTTGATCTGCTTTTCTAATTGCTTCCAGCGTGGTACAGGTTCTGCTTGCTGCTGGAGCTGACCCAAACCTTGGGGATGATTTCAGCAGTGTCTACAAGACTGCCAAGGAACAGGGAATACATTCTTTGGAAGGTAAGGTTGGGCTACCCCACTGCTCTGGGTGTCTCCACCTGTGGCTTCCACAAGCTTTGCTCAGTGTCCGCAGCTACTTGAGGGCATCCCGAGGTGCTTAGGAGAGATGCCTTTCATAGTTCCTTTCACCAGTTCCAAAGTGTCTGGGGAAGAGAACGGAGCCTGAGTTCATGACTTCATTGAGGTGGGGCACATTTCACCTAGTCTCCTGAGACTGGGAACCTCCGAGTCTCCTTTCGCTCCCTACAGACTTCCCTGCCCCAGTACTAGAACATATGCTGTGGTTCCTAGCCATAGAGGTCTCTAAGTACAGCTGTGAATATTGCTTTTTCAGTGTGTGGTCTGATATCTGAGACTGGTGCTTTGCTTTGCTGTGACCTAGGGCTAGGATCAGACCTTTGTGCCTTGATCTTCTGAGAGCTGTAAAATGGGCTTATTGCTAATACCTCACGGATGTGCGGGTGGTTATTGGGCTGCAGAAAAGGTGTTGTAGCACCTGTCTATTGGAGAGAACCTGCTCGGAGCAGTCTGTGTGGTCTTTGGTGAGGAGTTCTTCAAAAATGAAATTGAGAAGAATGTAGGTTACATTGGCTGCAGACAAATGTGTGTTCTATATGTGAGCTTTTGCCTGTGTAACCTGTGCCTGCCTCCTAACCACTGTCCGCCATCACCCAAGACAGACTGCTGTTCCACTGAAGTTTGGTGACAGGACAGCTTAGCAGTGGCTGCTTTAGAACTGTAGCCCTGCTGATTGCCTTATCCTGGAGTGCACTTGAATCCTGGAGGAGATTCAGCAGAGGAGAGCCTCGGTGCACTTAGCCCTCTGAGCAAGGGAAGTAAGGCTGGCGGCTCTGTGGTGCTGCGCCAGGGACAAAGTTTCTCAGACCGGTGACACGAGGGGAGTGTCCAAGAGCATCAGGGCACCATGCCCACGTGAAGTGTGAAGTTACCCTGCTGCTCTTCTGGATGCTCCTTAAATCTTGGCCTCTTCTATGGTTATTTGAACTCCCGCCGCCCCTACCTTCCCTCTCCTTCCCAACTGAGAGTAGGCCATGACCTGTGCCTCTGTAAATTCCTCTGAGCTAGAAAGCGTTCACTTTGTACTTCAAACAGAAGAGAAGTTCAGGAGTACCAAACTTGCCCTTTCTTTGCCGCTTAAAATGGACTCGGCCGATGGGCTGTCAAACACAGCTTTCCCTTGCATCTGTGTGCTTGCTGTTTGGGTGCTCTCACCAGAAAGCAGAGAAGCTGTCAGATGCTGGGGCCAGGAAGGAGTGGGGATTCTTGCAGTGCCTTCTCTTCTGCTCTGAGAATTTTAGCAGATTTTGCAGACTCTAATCAAGCTTTTGCTGTCAGCTTTGCATCCTATGTTTCTTTGTAGGTTGATGCTCAAATTCATTCTAGAGCAATACAATAGCGATCCACTGGTTTGGTTTTTTTTTTTTTTTTTTGTCTGGGAATAGCCAAATTGTGTAAATTTCAACTTTATGGACCATTTGGTCTTTAGTATGACTACTCAGCCTGACTCTTCGGTATTGAAGCAACCATGATGGTTCACGAACAGACTTTGTTCATTTATTCATTTGAACAGCCTCCCTGAGTTCCTTCTAACTCCAATGCCAACCAACCTTCTCACTGCAGGTAAACAAATAAAAATATTAGGAAAGGCCGCCATGAAAGAAAGATATTAACTATTTCTTTTTGTTTTGTATAGCCTGCAGTTACCAGTGGGCTTTCTGTAGACTCAGTGTTTATTTAGAACGCCTTACTGATGACACTTCTGTGTGCTAGCAGTCTGCTGGGCAAGCACACTCCCTACCACCATGCACTTTTTAGAGCAAATGATCATAAGGCCTTGATGATTTAGAGTTCTCCAGCATGTGGCAAGGCAGTTTTGATGTATTGTCGTTAACTGCAGCTGACATTAAGTCCCTTCCTCTATTTCTTTGTCTACAAATTGAGAAGTTTTTTTTTTACCATTTGTTGTTAAAATAAAAAAATGTGTCCTGCACTTATCTGCACTTATTTTCCTTCCTTATTCTGATGACCCTTGCCTACTCCTGCACATTAATAACTTGTTTTCAGGGAACCTGCAGGCGCTCAGTAATCATCAGAGTGCTTAAGAAGCTTTTTAAAAATGCATCCTAGGGCCGGGCATGATGGCACACACCTTTAGTCCCAGCACATGGGAGGCAGAAGAGCTTTGATTTCTGAGTGAGTTCCAGGACAGCCCAGAGCTATACAGAGAAACTCTGTCTCAAAACAAATGCACACTGCCTCCGAGGGCTGGAGATGCTGCTCAGTGGTGGGGCACTTGCACGAGGCCTTGAGCTCCACCCCCAGCGCTGTTTTGTTGTTTTGTTTTGAATTCTAGTATCTTGTCAGGAATCATTAATAAACTCAGTGTACTGGTCCCCTTCACTGACTACCTTTGTCTGCCACAGGTTATTTTCCAGGGTACATCTATTTGGATGTACTTTGTTCTCTGCTTTCTGGATGGGACTAGGATGATGACACTTGACATATTTCATCTCAGGGCTCTTCTCTAGGCACCAGGTTAATTACGGGGATGGCCAGTGTATTTTAGGGCACATGTCATGTTCCAGTATCAAAAGGTTGGAAGCCCCAGCATCCTTTATCATCTTCTTCACCATGGTTTTCGGACCTTTCTCCATTTAAAGACGTCTTGTCTTTTCATCCTCTCTTAGCTGTCATTTCCTGCTGTGAGCCGGGCACTGCCAGCTCTGCGCCATCTCAGTGCTGACGTACGAGTGTAAGATCCATCCCTGAGCTTCATTTCTCGTTTGACTGACGTGACTGGGGGTGGAGGGACTGGGAGATGTGTGAGGAAGAGTTTAGAAGAGCCAGTATTGTCACAGGCTTAGGGCAGCTAAACAGTCCTTGCTGTCAGAATCAGTACCAAAGTTCACTGTATTTTATAATTATTTCTGTGGATATTAGCCTATCCTTGGTACTGAGGGAAGATGGTGGATTGTAGTTTGTGACTCTGGCCCAATTTCCTTAACCCCAATAGTATATATAGCCTTTGCCTGCCTGTCAGTATTGCTGTGTTGATCAAGATATAAAATAATGTGACGCGTGAATTGCAAACTTCTCTACAGTTATAATTGCTTATTAGTTCCATTTATTTATAATTCAGCTTGCTTTTACTGCATGTCGGGCACTCTGCCAGATGCTGGGAATATCTAAATTAATATATATGGTCTGGCCCCTCAGCAGTGCTCCTAGCCAAGTAAGATGGACCTCTGCAAGGAGTTACACTACCGAGTGGTAAGGACAAAGGTAGCTAGCTGTATGAAGAATGTAAGCAGCCCAGAGTGAGGTACTGATGGTCTTTTTTCTAAGATCAGG